GCGTGGGAGGAGGGGGGTGAGGGGGGGAGGAGTTAGGGAGGGAGAGATGGCGCGGCTGGAGTGCTGTAGGCGGCACGGAAGATTTTGGGAGGTGCTTTGGGAGGGTGCTATATGTTTGCTAGTGGATGAAGAGGGGAATCTGGTTTCTGGAGGAAAGGGCAAGAAGGGGACCAACACGTGTCTGCTGTGGAATACGATTGCTTTACGGAGAGCGCGCGCTCTCCGGCCCAGGTGTAGGCTCTACGGGTGGGTAGGTGCGCGGGCCAAGGGGCCGATCCTATAGGAACTTCGCGTTGGAAGACAAACAGCTGCGGCCATAGTGCCATCCAGTGCGAAGATGCGGGAAAACTGGAAACAACCATGAACGATCGCCGTCGTGCTGTTTATGTACATGAATTAATCAGGAGCGGCTGGAAGACCGCGTATGTCATATTAGAGGATTATCTCTTACCGGAAGCGTCTGCTTGTGCGTAACGTTTTGGGGCTGGAAGTTCGCAGCTATCATGTCCGATGGTAGAACGGGCGGGGGCTTTGCATCAGCCGTGCAGTGAAAGCACAGTGCACAATCGTCAACATGTGGAATAACGGCTTGTGCTGCGGCCTGCAGGGAAAAAAGGTTCAGAGAGTTCGATTCTGACACGCAAAACACGCCCAGCTGTCTTAAGAATTATCAATACAGTATAATCACAATTTACTGAATGGGTTTGGAACCATGTGAATGCCAAAAGCATGCGATGGACCCACCCCAACCAGCGCCAGCACTGCGCACAGCGAAGCGAGCAGGACCGACATCCCCAGCGTGCTATGTTAACCAGTAATTGGTAATTGAAGGCCTACAAATGCCCGCTCTTCATCTCGTCTCGATCATGTGTGGCAAAGATAATACAATACAGAGTGCAACAGCGCAGTCGCGACCCCAAGTATGTCGCTATTGAGGTATGCACGATTAAATAGATCGAACAATTCTATGAACCTGATGGCAAAATGCAGCATATTGTCATGCATCCGTGTCGCTCGGCCTATGGCCTCGGGCAACGGTGCCAACTGTCGCCGTGGATGGAACGAGCAGCGATGTGTCCCCGAATTTGTATCACCGTTGAAGGGAACACCTGCCCAGATCTATCTTTCTGACGTGTATCATGCTCATGTGTTCAGAGGCGCACCAGCCTGTTGCGCGAAAACCCCGAAGTTACGTCAGGCAAGCAACGGCCGTCCACAACGCAGTGTCCGCCCTTCCACACGGCTCAACCTACGAACCCTTAGAATATCTTGGAATTTCTCACATAATTTCTAATAATAAGCAAGTCGGTACCAGCTGGAAGACACCGCTTCGAGGGTGGTGCAGTTCAAGGAGAGCTAAATCGCTACGTCGATGCCCAACCCTGCTCATTCCCCAAACCCTAATATGCCCACATCCCCAGTAGAAACATCAATGTATGCCGCAATCGTACTTCCGCTACCGCAACTGGAGCAGGGGGGCTGTAGGTAGGAAAAACAATGAAGGCTGCTGTCATGCGTAGAGCGCTCTCACAGTGAGGGACCATACCCTGGCGGCCCAAGGTGCGACCTGCCACTGTGCAGTTCCCCAATCACTCCACACATATACACACATATATACACACATATACACACATATACACACATATATACACATATATACACACATATACACACATATACACACACGTGCACACACATGCACACATACATGTGCGACGCCTCCCACCGGGGGGGGGGAAGGACAGCAGAACTAGCGGACCTGCGGCTCTCGGCTGCTTAGGAGGGGGCAGAGGGCTGTCGCGCCTCTCTCATGTCCGTGGGAGAGAGCTTAGGCGGTCTTTCCGTTGGGGCTGGGCAGCAGCCCCTGTGGCCAGTGTCAGGCCGGGTCAGATACCTGTGACATTCACACACAGATACGCGCACACAAACATACATGCACACTGGCCTCCTCCATGACCGGCAAGCAATTCCCCACACATACACTTTGCCCCAGACAAACTTACACAACGACTTCAAGTCCTCCGCTAGGTCAGTCAGCCGCGCGCTGTCTTTACCACCACCACCGCCACCACCACCACCACCACCACCACCACCACCACCAGCTCCACCACCACCACCACCACCACCGCTACCACCACCACCACCACCGCAACCACGACAACAGCTGCAGGTTAACCTTGAGAGCTGAGATGAAGTGTTATGGGGCCCCATGCACCATAGCACATGCAGGGAAAGTGTGTATTCCTTTGTGCACTTGTATGTATGTCAGTGTGTGTAGTCTCGTGTCGGGTCGCATGGCCTGCAAGGCCTGCATCCTCCCAGCTTTGTGGCGACGGTGTTTTCTCTCAACTTTAAAAAATGCGGAAATTCGGCAAACAGGTACACGAGAGCGGCGACGGGAGTGCACGGTCAAGGCGCTAGAGGTGGTCGTGCGGGCGGCGGTGCTAGACCCGCGGTGGGGTATGAGGCGGGCAGTATGCAGTGGGTCGTCAAGAGCGACCCACCATCGTTACAATGAGAACTGATGTAGTCAAAGTTCGGAGGGTACATGCTACAGGCACCACATTCTATTTATCTTTGCGCTTGGGGCAATGTCGCAGCCTATGAGATCTAATCGAGGCGCGACTATTGCTGGTTGAAAACTTATTCCTTCCCCGTCGGTCGTGTTCTTCGGGACCTTCCGCAATATTTGGCGGTCTTCGGACCCACCCACACGAATACAAAATCTACATAGTCCAGCTCATAAAAGCATAAGTACACACTTTCAAAACATACGTTTAAGCATTTGCTGATACGGAGTCAGCGTAGAAATTGCAGCGGTGTTAGAGGGCTCTTAATCTGGCAGGAAATTTGCCACCTCGCTCGTGTAAGCTGCTGGTAGGTAATAAGCCGAACACAACAACGCGAAACAAAGACACGCCGTACCTGATTTCAAACAGCTCATATACATTTGCTGCATCCCGTGCGGTTCGCTACATTTCGCTACCTACCGCTTTTTCCACTGCGTCACCGTTCGACAAGGACAAGGAAGTCCGAGAAACCAGGAGCCAAACTCAGTTTAGACAGTTACCTGTTCTTGATGCATTCTTGAATTAAACCGCATCATAAAGGCGGATGCAAATCGAACATTGGAAATGTGCTGCTGCTGCTGCTGCTATGATTATCGCATCAGCCGCCGTGCAATCTCAAAGGGTCTCTCCCCTCAAAACATGTGATGTTGCTGAAATCAGCCAACGGTCAAACCTAGCTTCAACATTTGTTTAAAATTCGTCCCGCATATTATACATAGTGTCCATTTCAACGGCCAAGGCAGCGAGGACAGAGCCCTTCCCCTAACTCCAGGTGGGGAGGGCGAACCCGATCAGGGAGGGACGGGCGAGACAGCAACACATACACAAGTGCGTCCACTGCCCTTTTCAAAACCACACCACGCCCTGTGTATAGCCTCCTCGGCACACACATGTCGTCCGAGCTGTACTGCTGGGCGTACGGAATCCGTACTGGTGTATCCGCAGGTCGAGGGAAAGAAAAAATATAATGAATAAATACACACACGGTGTGGCGGCGTCAGGAAACGTAAAAAGAACTCGAGCAAGACGTTTAGTGCCAAACCTGCAACGATCATCTTCCTTTATTTTACCACACCTGTCCCCTACCATCCATCACACTCCTACCCACACAAATCGTGCATCCACTACACATCGTCCGTACGCAAGACCGCTATACACACACATACACATACACACACATACACATACACATACACATACACATACACATACACACACATACACATACACATACACATACACACACACATACACATACACATACACATACACATACACATACACGCACGCACACACACACACACACGCACACACACACACAAAGCACGTGCACGAAACACGTACACATGCACGCATGCTGTTAACGGCCGACATGATTCTTCGCTGGCTCCACACCGCACAACAACGTCGTTCACTTTCCCATTCGCACTCAAAGACACGTTTCGCCTTCTGATCCAGCTCCTGCCTTTGCCAAGAAGATTCACCGCACCCTCTACTGCCTCTGCCTCTAAACTAACAGACACATATACACAATACGTGCACACAAACTGCCTCCCCCCACCCCACCCACTACACCTCGAGTTGCTTCAATGGAGCCCAAAGCCTCTTCCCACTCACTTCCACACCACCACGGACAACCCCGGGCCTTATGTTACCACTGTGCTGCGGGCTCTCTGCGCTTCGCTGATCCCTGGTGCGGACTGTGTTTTGCTGCTACAGCCACATCCCCCCTCCTGAACCCCCGGGAGGCTGTAGCCCAGGCCCTTGCCCGGCCGCTGGCCCCCATCCCCGCCCCTATCCCCATCCCCAGGCCCCCAGGAAGTCCCCCCCCAACAATAACCTCCCCAGCCTCTGCACCCCACTACCGCTACTGCCGCTGCTTCCCGCTACTGGCCCCCGCAGCACATCCCCTAGTTTGGGACCCTGCCACTCCCAGCCTCTCCGCCGCATGAAGAAACCCAACACCTCCATGGCGGCCATCACCACCTGCGGGGGGTGGGGGGTGGGGGGGAGGGGGGAGGAGGTGGAATTACGTGATCTTGATGCAAAAGCCTAATAAACAATTCTTGCACAGAAATCCAAAGCACCACGCCACGATTGGGGGGTGCGGGTGTGGGTGGGGAGTGGGGAAGGGCAGGCAGCTAGGGTAGTGGGACCGTGCGCGGGTGCGGGTGTGGGGATAGGTATGGGGCCCGAAGCGTGTATGGCGGGGTTCTCCCGCTTGTCGTTCCGGGCCCCACCACCCCACTCCTGACCTCCACGAGGATGAGCAGCACGATGATGACGTCCAGCCTGGCCAGGTTCTGGTGGGCGGAGTGGTCCGACCAGATGTCCAACATGCGCTGCAGGACCTGGGGAGCGGGTACCGGCCCCCGGGGGAAGGGGGGAGGGGGAAGAGGGGACGGAAACATGTGTGTGTATGGAGCTGTGCGTATGTGTGTGTGGNGTGTGGGGGGGGCGGGGACAAGTTAACCGCTGACGCTGTCAAAGT